TTAACATGTTTAATTTAGTTATTGAAAAAATTAAAAATTTAAAAAAATAAAATATATCATTCACAAATATTTTCTAAAAAATTATATAACTCTAAAATATATTAATCTCTATTAAAAAATATTAAAAATATATCATTTCTTATTATAATAATATGAATAATATTTAATTTTAAAAGTGGATTAATATATAAAAAATTAGAAATAAAATAAATAATTTTTTATTTTTTTTCATCTAATCAAATGTAATAATTTTAGAACAGTAAGATATTAATACTTTCCTTGTGTGTCATCCACTGAATTTATTTCATATATAACTTTTTTATATTTTTTTAATTATTATTTTTTTAAAATAAATATTAATGACGACTTTATTATTATTTTCTTAATTTATATTATTTAAGTTATCATTACTTTAATTGCAACTATTTATTTAATTATATAATTCAATAAAATATTTTAATAAAATATACTACTTTTATTCGATAAAATACAAAAATAAAGATAAAAATTGCTAGTTGGACATTCATGTATAAAGGCTAATTTTTATATGCTTTTACATATTTATTATTAATTAGAAAATAAGGATGTAGCTTTGCATTGATTTATTATCTTTACATTTATGAATTTGAATTGATTGATGAGGAAATAACAATGAAATTAGTAGAGAAATATAGAAAAAGATAATGAAGTAAAGTAAAAGCCATTTATATTCTTATAAATTAATTACTTGGAGGTAGATAATAAATTATATTATATATACTAACTTAATGATTTTTTGTATTATTTTTAATTTTCTAAAACAACATTAATTAATAATATTTTTAATAAATTATGTTTATTTTCAGGTTAATATTATGTGAAGATAATAAATAAAATTAATAATTTGTTTATATTAATTTATTTAAAATAATTTTTATACTGCTATTTTTTTATATTATAATTTTTGTAAAATAAGCAGAGTATTATAATTATATTATAAAATAAATTATATAATCTAGTATTAATTATAAATTACTATAAAATAAATTTATATTAAAGATATTTTGATTATTCGTTAATTTAATTTACTATTAATTTATTTTTAATCAATTCAATCAATCTTATCACTTATAATATTTTCATTCATTTATCTTTATTTTTCATCTAATTTCTCTTAATCTAAATAATCATACTAATAATAATACTAATAATTATTTTTATAATAATAATAATAATTTTAAAAATAATTTAAATAATTATAATATTTAAAATAATTATAATAATAATATTTATAATAATAAATATATAAAAAATTATTATTATTATTATATTAATACTTAAAATAAAATAATTTAAACAATTATAATATTTTAAATTATGTTAATAATAATAATTTTTATCAAGGATAATTTGATAAACTTTAATTGTTTTTATCCACGTCAATTAAATCAATCATAATTTTTTTTTCATTTCTCTAAATTTTTTATCGTCTTTCAATTAATTTAAATAATCTCATTTTCGTTTCCACGAATTCATCTAAGCCTATGTTTGCTTCTAGATTTATTTTATTTTTGAAAAGAATAAAACATAGAAATACAATGATTTATTATGTTTCTTTCTATTGATTCAGAGAGAAAGTTTACTAAAATATACACCTATTTCTTCTCTCCCTTGAGATGAAATTGCTTGAAAGTCAGCTCAAAATTGTAAAATAATATTTTAACTTTATGCTTGAATATTTTCGTTTCATTCTCATAGTTCTATTAGGTGTGGTTTTTTTTCCACTTATATTGAATAATCAATTAATTATTTAACCATAATAGATTAATTATGCTACCTACACATAATTAATATTTAAATACATAATATATCTTATTTGTTATTAAAAATATTTTTTTAATTATTTAATTATTTAATTATATATTCATTTTTATATATATAATATATAATTTAAACTAATTTGATTTTAATTTATATTTATTATACATAAATTTTATTTAACTTTCAATTGAAAAATATTTATTATCAATTTATATTAAAATTTTAATTAAAATAATATTTATTTATTTAGTAAAATCATATCATAAAATATTTTAATATAAAAATTAGTTTTATTTTTATCCATTTTTAAATAATTATTTCATTTTAAATTATATTTTATATTTATTCTTATTAAAACTTATAATAAAGATATTTTAGTCATTTATTAATTTATTTAATTATTCAATTTTTTCAAACAATAAAATCAATCTTATTATTTATAATATTTCTACTTATTTTTCTTTATTTTTTATTTTTTTTACTTAATCTAAAGGATTCATTTTTTATTATATTTTTCTTTTTTTTCACTCTCTAAAATCTATCCTTCAATTCACACAAACTTAAGACTTACCTTTTTCCAATGATAAAGGAAGACATGAAAATACGTTAATTTCACCTATTTTTATGTATAAAATTGTAAAAATAAAGAAAAATACTCTTATTTTCTCGTACGAAAATTTATTTTTTCAAACATAATTGATGAGTATTTTCTTATATTATGGATAACCCATAATTGATCATGTTTAAAAAAGTTTTATTTACTATTTTTTTATTTTTTATATTATTATTATAATAAATAATAAAAAATTATATTAAAATAATAAATAAATTTATTTTATTTTCCACTCATTTATAACATTTTCTTCTTTTATTTACACAAATAAAATATGTGGGGATTGTTGTAAATTAAGGGGTATTGCAAAACTTAAAACGTGTTCCCACAAAGACGGTTTCAAAGGATGTGTTATCACAAGACCTTTTCAAAGAATGATACAGAAGACGGTTTCAAAGAACGTTGCAGAAAGATCATTTGAGAACGTTGCATAACGCTTACTGTAAGACAAGCTTTCGGATAACGTTATAGACTCACTACCAAGTCTTCCCACTGCTACATACTTCTTGTTATAAATAGAGACCACTTTACATTCTTCATGTCTCATCTTTTCTTCTCTGATCTTCTTTCTGTTATCCTGGGTTAATTTATTCTTTTAAAAGTTTATTGTTAATTTTTAAAATCCTTTGATATTCCGAAAAGTTCCTGTTGTATATTGGGAGACTTATTCAATATAATGCGAATAAGTTTTTAAAAGCAATAATTATACCCGCCTAACAAATAAAATTAGTCTGTGTATCCGTCAATTTTTACAACATTTTCAACGCAAACGCAATGCACGATGACACACTTGTATGTTGTATCATCTTCCTAGAAACTTAACATTAATTTGGTAGGTAGGTAAATGGTCTTATCCGTGCAAATTATAAACCTAAATTTTGAATTCACACATAATTGAAAACTCAAATTATTATCAAATAAAATAATATAAAATATTCATAATATTCAAAACTCTATTAATACCTAAAGGCAAAGTCAAACGTATAAGCTGAATAGTGTACTGAATATCCGATAAACTCACTCCCACAAACACGCAATGTCAAAAAATACGATAAATACATTTCGGTTTGTGATGTAACTTATATATCTATTTTATTGGATGTGAGTTTTTTTTATTTGGAAGGTTAATTAATATGCTAATGAACTGTCCTTGTTATCTTGATGTCTTTCAGAGATTTTGTAGTTGGATTGTACGTTTTGGTCAGGAGCTTAATTAATCGAGTTGTTTAACATATAATTAGTTGATAATTTTTTTAAAATCTAGTAGTAATAACCTACTTTAAACAATATTATATTATATATAAAACAGGGTTGTCAGTACGTCAATAATCAATTGTCATCTGTATCAGCAACCATACATGAAAAAAAACGAAAACCAGGTATGACCAAGAAAATTTTCAAACCACTGACTACACAAGAAAAAGTTACAATGGTCACTACGTGACATATCTCACAGATTATAATACGCGGACATAATTCGAATCTAAACTGCAATACATGTGACATTTAGAAATAACATGATATATGTTTAAAACTGTATATAATTTTATAAAATATAATAAATATAACAGTAATTATATAAATTCAAATTAAAATCGCATTTTTTTTAAAGTATCACCATAAATTACTTTATGTAACGTTACAATTTTACAATTTTTTTAAAATAATTTCATGAACATAATTTTTTTAATTTATGATAAAAAAATATTCATATATTTTTTATATTACTCATATATTTATATATATTTTAAATATAAATATGTTAAAAACTTGACTATTTCACCATTATATATTGATAAAATATTATAATAAATTATGTAAAATAAATAAAAATATTTATATTTATAGGGTTTTGATACTTCATCATACCAATAAAATATATTTAATAGTATATCAATATGAGATATCTATCTGAGTCATTTATCAAACAAATTAAAATATTAATGTTTCAGAATTCATCATCACCAATTATCTTAGCTCATAAAATATGATTGATATTAATAGTATAAAATTTAATCCAAAATTAGTCAAATTAATATATAAAAGTACGACATGTACATGTAGCTGTATATAAATCCCCCAACTTCCCGACAATTGAGTTAAGAGTTACGACCCCACATTGCAGGTTGTAGGTTGCCACTATTAAATTCATTAATCAGACAAAACCATAACCTAATATTTTAAACTCAATAATAGTCTATGGATAGTTACACAGTTATTCAGCTGTAATTTCTTTTTGGAAAGAGGGCTTCCATATTCCAAAAAACATATGATTTCATTTCATATGTTGTGTTCATGGCTTAATAATATAGACATAGAAATTAGACAGTACATTGCTCATTTCAGAATAGATTGTTCTACAAAAGGCTAATGGCCAGTTGGACAACTTGCCTTTATTTCTATTTCTTGGATAGTATTCCTACAAGTGTAATGACATATATATAAATCTTTCTACATATATCAACACCTATTATTCTTTTATATCTTTCTCTTTCACATCACAAGTTATTGTATAGCCTGCTTTTATTTCTAATTCGATGGAATAGATGAAATAATACTGAGCTTAATTAATATTATAACGGCCATGTCAGTGGTGCAGTGAGAGATCGTAAACAGTAGGAATCAAGCACAACACTCCCTTCCTTCTAATTGCCAATCCGAAGTTTTCTGTCATATCCAAATCCTCAGGTTTCATCCCATTTGGAAGTTCCCAGTTGAAATGATAAAGTAGAAGAGCTAGAGGAAGCATAATGGAGGCTAAACCAAATGACATGCCTGGACACATTCTTCTTCCTGCCCCAAATGGCAGATACTCGAAGTTGTTCCCTTTGAAATCAATGGAGCTACCATCAAACCTCTCTGGCATAAACCTCTCAGCATCATCCCAATATTTTGGATCTCTTCCCATTGCCCATACATTTACCATGATTTTAGTCTTGATAGGTATTTCATAGCCATCAATCATGGTTGGTTCAGAGCATTCTCTGGGAAGCAACAAAGGAGCAGGAGGATGCAGTCTCAATGTCTCTTTGATCACCAGCTTCAAATAACTAACTTCCTCTAAATCACTTTCATGGATTATTCTCTTTCCTTTAAATGCTTGTCTTAACTCAGCTTGTGCCTTCCGCCTCACTGTTGGGTTTCTCATCATTTCTGTCATGCTCCAATCTATGATCGATGCTGCAGTATCAATTCCAGCAACAAATATATCCTAGACAAAAGGTTATAGTTTCTTTATATATATCTTGATAAGAATAAAATTTGACAAATTGTTTCTAACAGAAAAGTACACCACAAATGAAAGGTTCCAATAGTATGAAAAATTATTGCATGGTCGTCTGATGCCATTGCATATGAAAATACGTCAACTCATGACAATCAAAATTTTCAGTTAAAAAAAAAAGGTTAATAATTTGGATATATATCACAAGAAATTTGACTAAAACTAAATTTTCCTATAATATGAAATAGTACATAAACCATCATGCATGTTATTGACTACTAATAATTAGGTCAGGGGTATTGTCCTTAATAGTTTAGAATAGCGTGTTCCTTTAAAATTGATTGGAAACTTATTTAATGGCTATTGTTTTACTTGTTCCATTTCTAAATATGAGACAATCATATTTAATAAAAAAACTTGATTGGTTTAATTAATAGTAATAAATTTATTTGTAATTGTAATGTTTTTTAGAACTATCCTTAAAATTATTGAGACTAATAATATTACCCCTTTTCCACTTAATTAATTTTCACCCGAATAAATAGTGTATGAAGGATAATAGATGTGAACTATAGATATATTCTCCAATACCGTAAAAAAAAGAGGTAATTTATAATATTTATTATTTATGGACTAAAATAATTAATGCTGTCTTTCAATATAAAAAATTAATAATTCGTTTGCTGAGAAAAAAATTATAACAAAATATGTTATTTCAGTAAAATTTCTAGAAATTTATGAAAATAATTTTATTTTTTTAAATTATAAATTTTCAAATTAAAAAAAATAAAATATTGAAAATTTCAATACTTTCCTATTATGCCCATTATATAGTGTCTCATAACCTGAAGATATTTTGATGAAAACATATTTAAAACAAGGGAAAATTATAAGACACTATATAAAAAAGATAAGAAAATTTAAAAAGTGTCTTTTATTGAGATACAAAAGATATAAGTAAAAAAAAATAAAAAATTAATGATCCTATTCAATACATGTAAATGTTTTTATAAAAATTTTAAGTAAATTACGATTTGATTGATGGTGAGTTTCTTATCTTCAAGTTTAGTTCCACACTTAAAAAGCCATAACTGAAGTTTGAGCAAAATTAGAAACAATATTAAGCAAATTGCATCATTTTTATATCGAAAAAGAAAATAAGCAAGAAAAAAAAATTATGTGTGGAAAAGTAGGTTGCATAGGACTCTAATTTTGCGGCGTTAATTGACTCACCGAAACCATAGCTTTGATGTGTTGGATGGTCATGGTGATGCCGAGGCTCCCACTGTCTTGGACTCTCAGAAGAACATCAACAAGATCTTCCTCTTCTGCTTTCGCGCTTTCTTCTTGTACTCTCGAGATCTTTTGCTGATGCTGAGTAACAATGTTGTCGTAGATCCTATCAAGCCGCTTCTGCAATTTTTCCAATTTGGCCATTTTCCCAGTTAGGACACGTATGAATTCCATAGAAGGAAACAAATCAGGGATGTCAAATCCTCCAAGATGTATCGCTACTTCCTTCTGCAAAGACTCAAACTCGTCCTGGTCCCCGCACATGTTCCCAAACGCTGCCCTGAAAACAGAAGTGCTTATGAGGTTGGAAATTCTGCTGCTAAGGTTGATTTCTGACCCCGCGGATGACTCAATTGATTTTATGAACTTTTCTGTTTCTTGTTCTCTGATAAAAGAGAAAGCCTGCACCTTCTTGGCGCTAAGAAGCTCTAACATGCATATTTTCCTCATCTGCCTCCAGTAGTCACCATATGGGGCAAAAGCCATGTCTATTCCCCCATAGGTGAAAATCTGAGCAGGAACAACTTGGGGTCTCTGTGCAAAAGCAACATCATGGGTTTTCATTATCTCCTTGGCCATCTCGGGAGAGGATGCAATGACTGCTGAAATTTGACCTAGTTGGAGGTGCATGAGAGGGCCATAATTTTTGGCAAGGTCTCGCAGAGCAAGGTGTGGAAGTGAACCTGCTAATGCTAGTTGATGCAGATTCCCTATGATAGGTAACTTCCTTGGGCCAGGGGGCAGTTTGTGATTAAACTTTGGCTTGAAGTTTTTTGCTAGCCAAATCAACAACAACAAAAGAATGAAGGTAATACCCCAAAACGATGGTTCATTAATGTCCATGGTATTAACTATTGGAGGAAACTCAACGCTCAACTCTTTTATGTTTATGCTGTTCGTTTAGTTTCTTTCATGCTGGTTTCTATTTATAGCATCTTATACCTACTATTGTCCAGTTGAATTGTAAGACGTATACCACCTATTTTTTCGGAAAAGCTTAGGATACGTTAAAAGGAAAAAATGTGTATTTTGTGTTCTTTCTATTATTTTGTTATCAATGGTTTAAGGTTTATATATGTTGAAAGTTCAAATATAATTTTTTAAACTTTTATATTTTGCTCAATATTTAATTTTTTCTTCTTATTCTAAAATAAAGATATTTAATTTTTTTATTTAAAAAAATCTACATTTTTAGTTTCATTTTAAGTTTTTGAAGTACCATAAAAATAGTTGAATTAAATATAAGAGATTAAAATTACAAATTGAATAGATAGATCAAAATTATATTTAAATCTACTCCAAAATCAATGTAACTAGTTCTGTTTAACGTTGTGATTTGTGACGGTCCAAATATGATGTTTAGAGTCAAATGTACGTTTGGTTAGTGTTTGAATATTATTTAAATTTAAATAATTGATTGATATTTGAATAATTGATTTTGGGATTGGTTTAAGGTTTTGAAATAGGATAAATTATGTTTTTTTTTTAAGTAGCCAAAAAAATTATATTTAAATTGTTAACAGAAAAGCTATGTCAATACGCAAAGACTAAATCTACTTAGTTTGACCAACAAACTTAATACAGTTGGAAAATAATTTAGTTCACTAAACATATTGATAGAGGTTTAATTTCCTGATTGTGCAATAATTTATATATTTTTTCTGCTTAGACTAGAGAAGATAAAATACTTTTGTTTTATTTTTACATCTGAAGAAGATACCATTCAAAGCTGTGTTATTTTAAATATTTAAATTCTCTATCAGAAAATTAATTTAAAATGTATTATTATATAATACGGCAGGATTTTTTTAATTAAATCAGATTATATACGTAAAATTTATGATTAACATTTAAAGTCATTGACTTTTGTAATTATTTATATTGATTTTTTTCTATTATTTATTCAAACTCATCCATGTCAACTCAACGATCAAAGTTCAAAGTGAATGCATTAATAACGAGATGAATTTTGGGTTGTTCTTCTTACGACTATTGTGTGTCTGTGTGTTGGGTGGCGGATAATTTAGACTATTTTTTGGGACAATTTAATTTTTCCCACCAGAAAATCAGATTTTTGGAACAATTGTATTATTCATAATAATTAATGTTGTGATTGAATGTAGTATTTTTATGAAATAATTTTAGAGGATAATTTATTTTTATGAAAATTTAAAATGTTTTATAAAATTATTTATATAATTTTTATCAAAAAAATAAATTTTTTCATTTTCTTTTCCATATGCGTTTATATATATATATATATATATATATATATATATATATATATATATATATGTGGTATTGTAAGATATATTGACCTAATTTAAGTGAAGACGTCATTGATTTTGATATTGTATTTTTAGTGATGTTGACGATTGTTTCTTTTATATTAAAGTTAATTATAGTTATTTTTCGTTAATGTTATCTTTGTGAAAATTGAGTTTCATATTTTTTTAATTTTTTTATTGATTTCAAGTATAATAATTCTTTTTTTTTACGAATAACAATTGTTTTTTAACCAATATCTCGACGAGAATGTATATTGGTCATGACTTTTTCTACAATACTCGTAGAACTATTATTTGGATCATGTCAATCAGATATTTTTATTCACCACAATAAAATTATTTTTTGACTTTTAATTTTTTACTACCAAGAAGTATTGATAGAGATTACTCTTTTATTTTCATTATTAAAATTTCCATCCATCGATATCGGTCATGACTATTTATTGATTAACGTTTGACAATGATTGTGCAACCAATAATAATAATCAGAAAACAACTCCTAAAAGTTACATCTTTATTTAAATTAGGCAAAAGAATAAAACAGTTATAATAATAATAATAATAATAATATAGTAGTACTCTTATAATTCTTACTACTTAATTATGTGCATTCAACACAATATAGCTTGTTCAAAGTAAACAAATAACTCGTAGAATTTTGAGTAGCGTGTATGATGCGGTAGATGAAAAATATCTTAATGATGAATAAAACAACTTGCGTGATAAGTTTTATTAGTCAATATAAATCATGTAAGCATGAAAAGGTACATTAGCATTTTTTTTGTATAAAATAAAAATAATACAATTATCAATTTTTATTTTACTTTCGAAGTATTTTATCAAATATAAGCAATGTTTTTATTATTAAATAAATTATTTAATTCAACAACCTCCATTCACCTACGCAGTCACCCTTGACCTATGAGGTGATAATTTCTATTGTAAAATTCTAAAATAAAAAAACAAATTTATATATTAATTATATTATTATATGATAATAACATTTATTATTTTAAAATGAATTATTTATGTTGAAAGTGAGTTTTACGGTAATTAAGCATACCGTTAGATAATCCAAATATGAATTTAAATCATATATTGAGTAAAAATAAAAAAAATAAATAACATACAATAAAATAAAATTCATAATTTAATTTTTTTAGGTTTTGAATTAAAGTGGATATCAATCTCTTGTATAATTTAAATTTACGTTTTATTAATTTCGGAAGTAAAAAACTGATAAATGATGTCCTTTGAAAACACATCTCCCTTGTAACATCATTTTTAATCACAAGTATCATGACTCAAGTTTAGATGAAGGAAGAACACTATGATAAATGGATTTCTGCACTTAGGATTGCATTGAGAGCAAGAAAAATATTTGGATTTATAGAGGATCATCATATCTAAAAGACTGGGGAACCAACAATTCTTTACCTTTGTCCTGAACATCATTAACATCGTAATCAACATGGTGCATAGGAAGGTGACACAAGATATGTTGGAAGATATAAAAGAATTATTTTCATTGTTAATGGGCCAGTATACACAAACTGAGGACTGAAGGATGCAAATAGAAAGGATTAACCATTGTTACCTAATTTGGAAAGCTTAAGAAATTATGGGAAAATTTGACAAATTTTGAATAAATGCAGGCTGTAAGTACAGCTTGTGTACTTGCAATCTCATATCAAATTTGTTATCAAGACTCATTTCCTAATCTAAGCAGAATCTATTCAACACTGGTGTAGGAACATGTCAAAATCATATTCCGTAAATAATAGCACAAAGTGTCCAAATAAGGCAACAAAAAGAGAAAGACAAAGAAATGATATGTAGTAATTGCAATAGACATGAATTTGATACTTGTTTCTAGATAACACAGTGATGAAAATTATTTTAAGAATATATATATATTCTTGATATACGAAATATATCTTATTTTATAAATATTTTATTCGTGTACTTTATTTATGTAGAGAATAAAAATATAACAAAATATTAATATCTCAATTAAAATTACCTAAATCAAAATAATAACATAATATTTTTTAAATCTAATAAAATATTTTAATACTTGATAAAAGATGATAAAACATATATTCTTAATGTATAGATTATCCAAAATTTTGAAGAGATTACTCCAGAAAATTAACTTGAAAAAGAAGGAAAATAGGATATAACTAGGACATGAAGATTCATTAAGTTAATGCAATGCAAATCTTCATACCAAGAACAAATACAACAATGTCAATAACTTAGTAGTGAACACAGACTAATTCTTTTGAATGAATAATGTCAAGATAGGATCAATTAAAAAAACTCACTATTAAACATTCATTTATGCAATTGATGAGAAAAAACGTTACGAAGAACATCATCATTTTTATTTTATGAGAGTTATCCTACTAATGGAGAAATAAAAAAAAATCAACATAAGAACATAATGTGGAAACTCTAAAACCGGAGAAAAACCACGATTGTTATCTAATAATAATTAAAGAATAACACTATGTAAAATTTTTTTACAATACACATATAATTCTCTCATGCACTTTGACCCTAAATACACATCATTTTCAAAGCAAAAATTTAAATTAAACCTCACAACATTCTACTACAAGAGTATAACAAAAGTCAGATACATGCTTAAAGTGTTTTTTACTAGGGTGAGAAACATTATGAATTTTAAGCTCATTATATAACTACTATCACCTACTTCATTGTTTATCTAATGTGACGTAGGACTTTTCAAGATATATTATTTTTATCAACCCAACAATCTCCACCATAATTCAAATAAACACATTTTTTTTATATTTATTGCCTACACCAACAATCTTCCTTTTTATCTCTATTGCCTACACCAATAATCATTCATACTCCATCATAAAGAGTATACTCACTTAAAATTAAACAATTTCAAGAATTTTTTTTTCACTGCACACCTGCATCAATGTTAACCAATACGCATCTATAATCACCACACTCTGTATCAATATTAACCAATGCCTTTGCACAATTACTACTAGCAAAAAACTCATCATTTTTCATGACAACGCGATTATGTCACGAGGATATTTAACTACATGTCAGAATTTCTTCCTTTAAATACCTTATGTAATCTAAATTATATCAGCACATCGCTTTATGTCACATTTGAGAGCACTTGCAAATTGTGACATCCTTTTTATCGTATTGTTAATCATATTTTAATATATTACTACTTTTTATTAAGTATTGACAAAAATAAGATATGAGATAAATATTTATACATTTATATGTACAAATATGTGAGCTTTACAAGTTTACATTGTTTTTATATCGAAACAATTATTAAAATTGACAAAAAAATTTCTCTAACGAGTGGTTGATTTATCAATGATACATGTCTTTCATCTATTTATGTTGATATTTTAGTTATAACATGCACAAAAAATAATAATAAAGAAGTAAAAACAATTATCATTTAAAATAATAAAATTTTATAATGATATATAAAATATATTTTTCAACTTCCTTAACATATTTCATTTATTCCATATTATAAAAATT